GATTGCTGATGAAAAGAAAAGAACGCATTTTTACAGAAATGTGTTGCACTTTTGCCTTTTGTCTCCAGTTTAGCGCCATTAAAATGAATGGAAATGCTTTTTTATTCTGTATTCTTCTGCTGAGCGTCACCTTATCCAGCGGTGAGTAAAACTGATTTCCCATTAAACTCAATTCTCTATTAATGTTACAATCTAAGCTGAACACAAGTGTAGTGTTGTTTGTTTAGTATCAGAACACACCTAAAACACATGTGCATGTGCATGCATGTTCTTGATGAGGTTGTCGCTTGTTTCCAAGGTTTCATAAACGCAAGAAACCGTCAGCTGACAGTTTAAGGGTTACTTTATAAAGTTATCATGTCACAACAAATAAATAAATAATTATTACCAGCACAGAGGATTATGAGCATTCTCAGTATGTTGTTATGAGTTAGTTTACTAACATGGCAGCCAATCACAAACGCATATAAGTCAGCTTTACAACCCAACACCGACTGGCTATCACGGTATGAGGTGTGCAGATACAAAGAAAGGTTTCAGGTGTTTGCACCGAACATAGCCGCGATAGTAGTAATGCAAGTGCTAATAATGATGCACTTTAGTTTTATTTAATGCTTTATAGATGTGCAATAATGAATCAAAAATAAAAATTCTTGTTTTTTGTCCAGAATTTATAAGGAAAACATTTATGGTATCATAGTCACAGCTCACTTATTTACTTTTCCTGTCCTGGGAGGAAATTCCATCCAGACATTTACTGTAGGGTCTACCTTACAATATAAAGTACCTTGAGGCAACTGTTGTTGTGATTTGGCCCAGTATAAATAAAACTGAATTGAATTAAAAGTAATGCTGAGGTGTTTTTTATAAGGTTTTTTATGCATTTCTCTGCTCCAGTCAAACATGACCAGTCAGTCAAAAACAAGAGTAAATAAAGTAAATTCATTTTTAAAAAACATGCTTGTTTTTTTAAAAAACTGCATGGTCTTAACCCTGGTCACTGTAAAGAACAGCTGATGTTGTAACGCTGTGTACAGTACTAACGCTGTCGAGACGTTTGCTCATATTGCTGTGAATTTCTGCAGCCTGTTGCAGGCTATAGAACGAACCACTGCTGATCTGATATCATTATTTTTAAATAAAAGTGGAAAAAGTATCTGTTGTGCTGTGAAATCTACATGATCTTTCACCATAAATCCCAAATAAATCGATTACACTGCATTGTTGTTCCTTTAGCCTATGAAGAAGGTTATATCAGGCTGGCTGGTGGCCAGGAATACTCCGAGGGCCGTGTGGAGATCTTTCACGATGGAGTTTGGGGGACGATTTGCGACGATGGCTGGGACATAAATGACGCTCATGTAGCGTGTCGACAGCTGCGTTTCCCTGGTGCAGCCGAGGCTCCTGGATCAGCTGCATTTGGCGCCGGTAACAAAACCACGACGCTCCTCTTACACGCTGCATTTCAGTGGTTAATGGCTAGACTGTAATTGTGTGGCTGTTTTGGTTTTAGGGGCCGGTAACATCTGGATGGACGATTTAACCTGCGGTGGGTCGGAGATTAACCTACTCCAGTGTACGTTTCCTGGCTGGGGGGTCCATAACTGTGGTCACGGCGAAGATGCCGGAGTTAGATGTGAGAAAGGTGATGAAATCAGCATAAGGACAGAAGTCTCCAACCTCCTCTGAGAAATAAAGGTCAGAAAGACATTTGTCTTAGAAACAGGTGTATTCACCGTGTCTATGATCTCTATCAGGGGCGGAACCTCAGAGCAGGGACCTCAACCACGAGTACACGTTGGACCACAATGCGAGCCTTTTTCAGCAGCTAGGCGAGCTGTTTGACAGCAGACAGGACTGTGACGTGGACATTGCAGTGGCGGTGGATAACAACATAGTGGAGACCATCTGTGCTCACAGGGTCATCCTTTCTCTCAATTCAAACCTCAAGGCTTTGCATCCAGACCTCAGCAGCTTGCTCATTAACGTGTCTTCTGATTGCAGCCAACATGCCGACATATTTGTCAGGTATAAAAAGTTCACACTTGCACATATTTCTATGTAAACCTGTGATCTGTCAATCAAATCTTTGAATTTCAGATACTTCTACACGAGGAAGATTACGGTCACATTAGCCTCCTCCCACTGCATCCTGAAAATGGCTTCTGACTGGGGCCTGACTGAATATCACAATGAGGCTGCGAATCTCTTCAGACGGTTTCTCCCCGAGGACCCCACCTTCCAAAGTCAGAACTCTCTTTACGAGTACGCAGTTCGCAGAAGTGACGACACGCTGCAGCAACTATGTCTTCGCTACCTGGCGTGGAACTGCGAGGCACTGATCAACTCCCCGGCCTGGACAAGCCTTCCTTTTAATCTGGTCAAAGCACTCCTTTCTCGCTCAGACCTCGTGGTGCGTAACGAAACAGTCGTCCTGAGCGGACTGGAGAGATGGGCAGAAGCTCGAGGAAACGCAACCATGCGTGAGATACTTCTAAATCTCGTCCGCTTCCCGATGATACCAGCTGAGGACTTATACAGTCTTGACAGCTCAGAGTACCACGCTAGCAAGCTGGAAGGGTTTCAGTTTAATGCTCTTCCTGTAAAAATGCTCCTCAGCGACCTGACAGGAACCATCTACACACCCAGGATTTACAATGGCAGACCGTGGAGCTTCACCTTCAGCAGTCAGGAGATCGGAGCTTACCAGCACTCCGGGGTCTACATCCTTCGAGGCCAGCGAGTCAGCAGCCTGAAGTCTGATTTCCAAACCCCGGTTCATAACAGCGCCTATTTCGCTTTTCACACCATGCGCTGGAAAGTCACGGCCTACGTCAGAGAGGAAGACTGCACAAAGCAAAGTGTTACTTGTGCTTCTTTACCAGCGATCAGCTTGAAGATTGAAGAAAAGAATTTACCCAGTGAGATGGAGGGCCGCATCCGTTACAGCAACAGGCTCGTTCTCATGTGCGCAGGAAGGCACGTGTTCCACGTGAACGAATTTAATGCTGTTGACAGCGACAGCCCCATAGCTGTTCCCAGCATCTCAGAACAAGTCTACCCGTGCCACTCAAACCTGTTCTCCTACCAGGTGGTGGTACGTCCTCAGTACTCAACAGATTAGATCTGACTAGAGAACTTAAGAGAAGGAGGGTGTGCGTCAGCGCAAGAACTGCACACACATAATGCTTTCTGCTCTCCTCCTTACGTGCAGCGGCTGCAAGTGGAAACCTCACAGTGAAAATTAAGGTGGATCCTGGAGCAGGTAGAATTGGCTTAATGCAAGTTTTCTAAACATGAGCCAGCTTGTCCTGTAGTTGCTGTGGAATGCATCGCTGTGGCTTGTTTGGGCACATGGTGCTAATGTAAACCTGGGCAGAGAGCAGTATCACCGCATTTCTATCTGATGAAAAGTGAAAAAATAATTTTAAAAAAAGGTCTGGTCTACTGTTATAATCACTCTGTCTGCAGAGGGTCATGCATTTCTTTTATTATGCAATGTATGTGTAATCAGATTACAGTGTATACACTTCTGTAATGTATTTGATTCACTGAAAATGTTTACTGTCACTGCCATAACAACAGTCCAGCAGTCTTAGCACAATCTGTCTGTCCTTATACAAATACAGTAGAATGATAGAATAGAGACAGTTCAGACAGTTATTAATAATACCTGTTAAAATCCGCTGTAAGTAACAGAGCGTTGAAACATACTGCAGGCTGCCTCCTCCTATGGTATCAGTTTGAAAATCCTTCATCACCCATGTCTCAAATTATCGCATTCACAAGACTTTCTTGAGGTCAAGGTCACTGAGATTTGAATCCATCCAAAATTTTGTGTAGATACACCTGCTGCCCACCCGCCCCACAGTGGGGTGATAATGATACCAAAGGCTGATGGATTGAAAATAAAGATTTAAGAAAAAAAAACAAACTCTTTTGCAATGAAGTTACAAGTAAAGTAAAGTTATGTAAGTACAAATGTATGATTGCTAAATCATTTAGGAGACGTGTTTTATGTCATCAAATTATTTCAGCTAATTTTAACACGGTACGGAGGCCGGAAGCATTCACATCAACTCTGCTGCTGTTAGTTTCTGTTGGTTTTTAAGTGTTTTAAAGAGTTTTCTCCACTAAGGTACGAAATAAATTCTTCTTGCACTTCTTTAAATGGGACCGGTGTCAAAATCATAAACACTTTTATTTTATGGAGCTGGTTTTTAGATCCTGCCGAGCTTAATTCAACAAAAACAGGCAGAAACCTTTCTGATAAACAACGCTTCTCATTTCCTCACTTTAATGTTTTGAATACTGTGACTAAAGTAAAGGGTCTAAATCAGCGGTCTCAAACTCAAATGAGCTGTGGGCCACGGGTGGCACTGTCGTCTCATTGGAGGGGCCCTTTAGTGTTCAAGTAGTACAAAAAAACCCAGCCAAACAAACAACAAAACACTTTAAAAAAAATTCAGATTTTGTATAACAATTCAAAACTGCAAACATGAGCTTATTTTTTTTTCTCACTCTTAACTAACTGAAGCCTTTCATTGAACTACCAAAAAAAACACATTGGTTCTCTCGTTCTAGTCAGACATGCGGCAGCACTTCTGCTATACTTTTGTTTGTATTTAACAAAATAAAAATGCAGATATAAGTGTACACATTAGTTTTTGTTCTCTTACCTAACTAACACAGCCAATCCCTCCGCATGTTTGTACTCTCTGCTCATAGTTCCTTCATATGAAATTATTTTTGCCTTTTTAAAGAACTTATTTTAACATTGCACTCAACAACAAACAAATCCTCCCTAACAAAAAAAGTCACTTCAAGGGCCAAATTGTGTTACATTTCTCACGTCAATGTACGGGCCGCAAATAGGGGTGACGTGGGCCGCAAGTTTAAAACCCCTGGTCTAAATGCTTGAGATCAGAGCCCCTCTCCACTGAACACCAGAGAACGGCCAGCTGCGCTCGGAGCTGCCAGCAGGGGGCAGCATACGGTGGGCCCGGTGAGGAGGACAGGCTGCCGGAGGTTTGCTGCCCTCCGCCGGCAGCTTCCCGGTAAATGTGCTCGGTGTCGGAGATAAAGGAGGAACCGCTCGGTCGCTTCCGGTGACTGAGAGCTCCGCGGTTTCTGCACGATCCCGCCGACGCACAACCCACCGAACGCCGCCCGCTGCATGTGCACGCGCACGCGGCAGCGCTTCGTGGTGTTGGCGGAGAAAAGCGTCAAGGTTCGTGTTTCCGTGAGCTGGTCTGACAGGGTTCCTGCTCCACGGTGACACAAAGCGCGGATAACGGCACGGCACGCTGTGGAACATAGAGAGAGAGAGAGAGAGAGAGAGAGAGAGAGGGGGAAGGCAGAGGGCGGTGGGGGGACGGTAAAGCAGCACAACGAGGAAACCAGCCGCGCAGCCGCGGACGCCTTCAGCTCGTTCTCAACAACCACCGGACACGGACCGGGAACGAGCTGCTCACACCAGGCCGCGCACAGGCTCGCTCCCTGAGACATGGGTGAGGATAACGGAGCTCTGGGTGAGGGTGGGGGGTGAGGGGGTGAGCGGCAGGCCTGTTGTCAAGTAGTTGGAAACAAAGGCCCGCCGAGCTCGTGAATCCACGAAGGGCGAGTTTCGGTTTCCTCTTAATCACGTGTGCACGCGCTTATTATCATTGAGCTCCTGCGGTTATGGAGGATGTAGGCTGCCATGACGCTGTCAGTAATGCGCGTTTGTTTGTTCCTGATCTGCCTCTGAAACACAGTCAGTCTACAAATACACACACGTAAACGCAGCAATCTGACATTCACAGCCTGCTGCATGAGAACACGGTTCATGCATTGTACCAAGCCAACATCCCAGTTTTGCTTTGTGCTTCCCTAGGGTCAGAGCCTCCCAGCTCTCCACAGGTGGTGGAGGATGGAGGAGAGGAGGATGAGGAGGAGCTGAGCGGAGGGGAGGAGGCAGACTTGCGGTCCAGCTCAGGCCGGGGCTCCCTGCTCACCCGCAGGGGCATCACCCTCAGAGTGCTCCTCAAGGATGGCCTGGTGGAGCCCGGGGACGGCGTGCTAGCCATACACTATCTGGTAATAACACGTAGCAGTTATGTGAACATGATTCTGACTCACCACAGTATGCGTGACTTGAAAGGAGGTCATAAACTCTTGCTTTCTCTCCTCCTGCAGGGTAAGAACTTTGTGGGAGACCTGCTGACTGATGGGAAAATCCGATGGGTGGAGACGGGCCAGATCTTCAACTCCCCCAGCGCCTGGGCGACTCACTGCAAGCGCCTGGTGAACCCGGCCAAAAAGTCTGGCTGCGGCTGGGCGTCGGTGCGGTACCGGGGACAGAAGCTGGTCCAGTACAAAACCACCTGGCTGCACAAGTACCAGCCCAGTGCCGACATGGTGAGAGGAGCATGACTGAAGGGAGCATTCCTAATATTTAGTGCTTCCATTACAAAATGTATTTTGTGTAAAAATGGGTTAGTACAGATTTCTAAGCCTATTTTATTATCCTTGCTTTTAGACTTTAAACTGAGTTTTTAATGTTCAAAGTCTAATAATTAAGTCATGACCTTGAGTTTCCTCTCACCTGTGTTACTCATGAGCACGTCCCTCGCTGCTCCTCTGGTCACATGACTTACAGGAAGTAATATCTGTGAGAGTATCACTCTTTCACAAAGCTCTTTTTCCATGTTTCACCGATGAGGTAAAGCACAACACATCCACCTTGTGACGCTTGTTCACAGTATAAACAACTCATATTTTTAGTAACTGTGATGAATACAAGAAAAAATTATCGTAAACACAGATGTCAAAGTAAAACTCAGAACAGGTATAAGAAATGAACAGTATTACTTAAAGCCTGAAGGTTTAGACATTTCTAAAATGATTACTTAGTAGACGTTATAAACATTTAAACCTTTACAGGATTATAATTTCTTAACCGTGTTAAGAGGTTAGTTTTTCTTTTCTTATCTAATACATGAAATTTCAGCTCTGGCAGTGAAACCACGTAAAAACTGCATGTTGTCGTGGTGTAACACAGAGCCAGCATCCATTGTGACATAAGCATCGTTATGTCCTGTCCAGCCTGTCGCCTGCAAATGAAATAAGACACTGAAACGATTTCAGAATGTAAAAATAAAAAATGGTGGTTAGCATTGTTGCCCCATAGCGAAAAAGTCCTCGTTCAATTCCACCAGGTCAGGGTGTTCCTGTGTGGAGTTTGCATGTTCTCCCCATGTTTCCGGGTACTCCGACTTCCCCCCACAGTCCAAAGACATAAAGTTAGTGGGGATGTTGTGAGTCTATTGTACTGTTGGATATTAAAAAAGAGAAAGAAAAATATACATATATATATAAACCAGAGTGTCCAGCTTCATGCCGACCACAGAGCCAGCCTTCCTGATTAGTTTTTCCAGCCTGGATGAGTCCTTCTTTATGTGCTGCTCCCCCAGCACACCACAGCATAGAACAGCACTCCGGCAACCACCGACTGGTAAAACATCCTCAGGAGCTTCCTGCAGATGTTAAAAGACCTCAGTCTCCCGTGGAAGTACAGTCTGCCTTGGCCTTTTTTATACAGGTGCTCTGTGTTGCATGAGCAGTCCAGTTTGTTGTTCAACCAAAGCCCGAGGTACTTGTACGTGTTGACCACCTCCACCTCCTCTTCCTCTGTCTGAACTGGCAGTGGACCTGCTCTGGACCTCCCAAAGTTCACAACCAGTTCCTTAGTCTTCGAGGTGTTGAGTTGCAGGTGGTTTGTGTGACTCCATGTGACAAAGTTCCTCACCAGACTCCTGAACTCCTCTTCCTGGTCATCCCAGATACACCTTATGATGGCCCTGTTGTCCGCAAACAAGTCAAGAAAGGATCCTGACCGTGCCTTTTCCCTTGTCCAGGTTTGAGTGGGCTCTGTGTAGGAGGTACAGGATGGTGTCCTCCACTCCGACATCCACCTTGTATGCGAACTGTAGTGGATCCTGGGCATGTTGTACCTGTGGTCGGAGGAGGTTGAGAAAGAGCTGCTCTAGAGTCTTCATAAGATGTGACATCAGTGCCACCGGTTGGAAGTTATTCACCTCATTGGGCTGGTTCTTCTTGGGGACGATGCAGGACATCTTCCAGAGGGCGGGCACTCTCCCCAGTAGCAGACTGAGGTTGAAGATTCTTTGTAGCAGCTCCCCAAGTTCAGCAGCACACGCCTTTAGCATCCTAGGACACACCTTGTCTGGGCCTGCTGCCTTCCTGGGGCGAAGCTTCCTCAGTTGTCTCCTGACCTGGTCCACTGTGACACTGGGAGTGGATTGGAAGTTTGAATGATTGTCTGTGTGTGTGTGTGTTAGCCCTGTGACAGACTGGCGTCCTGTCCAGGGTGAACCCCGCCTCTTGCCCTAAAGACAGCTGTGATAGGCTCTAGCCCACCCGTGACGCTGACAAGGATAAGCGGAAGAGGATGGATCGATGGAAAATCTTTTTAATCACACTTTGAAATACATTGTGTCCTTTTTTCAGACACTTTATTTATTAACAGCCTCTTAACCACGTCTGCAGGGTGACTTCGGGGACATTTTGTCTCTTAGAAAATGTAAATGTGAAAGCGAGCCCACATTCAAAAACTTTATTAACTTCCTGTAACAGGAGGAACACTTGACCCGTGTCACATCGTGAGGTGGACCAGTATATATTTTTCTCATAGTTTAAAATCCCTGGTTTGCAGAAATGTGGAGTGATGGTATAAGTACTCGGAAAGACCCTTTTAAACAGATGTGGTGTTAGAAATAAGGAGTGGTTCCAAGGTTTTGTCAAAGGGCGATCGAGCCTTTAAACGTATTAAAACAGGCCAGGTCGTGGAAATAGAATAAAGGTTGTGGTTTGACACGACAATTAGCTAGTGCTGACTCACATGCTGACAGGAAAAAAGGAAACATAAAGAAGAAAAATGTGATGGTGAAATCGATTTGGAGTCTCTGCAAACAGGAAACGATGAAACATTCATTACAGTAAGGTAAATCCAGTGTAACCAGAACTTTATTTTGACATTTGTTTTACTTCCTGTGATGTCAGAGCTTGGTGAGTGAGGAAGATGATGACGAGGATGAAGAGGAAGGAAAGGCAGCTGTGCAGGCAGACGACAAGAACAAAAACACCAAACCTGGACTACATGGTACCATTTCCTCCTCTCCTCCTCCCTCCTCCCCCTCTCCTCCCCGCTCCCCTCCTCTCATCCTCATCTGTTCGATGTTACAGATGTGATGGTTTCACGGAGGACTGACAGAGAGAGAATTCCCGTCAGATATTGCACTTTGGGCACCCGAGATGCTGCCAGGTACCACCTTACCTGACTTCTTTCACAGCTCTGTGCATGAAGCGAATCAGAGTACGATGAAAGGTGTGCTTGTGTCCTCAGAGATCCACACACACTAGTGGAGCTGTCAGCCTTCTCAGCCATCAACAGGTTCCAGCCTTTCAATGTAGCCGTGTCCAGTAATGTGCTGCTGCTAATGGTACGCATTAAAACGCTTTCAAGCAGACCAGCTTCACACTGATCACAGGTAAAAGCTAACTTGCCCACTTCTCCCACTGTAGGACTTCCATTGTCACCTGACCACCAGTGAGGTGGTGGGATACCTCGGGGGACGATGGGATACCAACACGCAGCGTGAGTGCGACTTTATTCAACAAAAGAGAGCATAGTGATCAAATCCGCAGAACGCCGGGCTAAAGCTGTCCTCCTCTCGCTCTGTATTTCAGTGCTGACGGTCTTGAGGGCTTTCCCGTGTCGGACCAGGCTGGCAGACAGAGACTTGGCTTCCGCTGTTGAGGAGGAGGTAACGCACGCAGAGACACAGAGGTGGAAAAACCCACTTTAAACACTAAAAGCTGCAGTTTGCAGCCTGGCAGCACGCATTTCCAAAAAAATTGCACTTGAATCTTCGCCTGCAAGCTGAAGGTTGTTGCTGTTGATGTGTCTGCCTTTAAAATGATGTACAACAATGCAAGTGTTTAGTAGTTTCCTGCATCTAAGATGCGAGTCTTCAAATCTGAAGTCGAGCAGAAGCTACAGGAATCCAAAGACTCTGCAACCAAGTTGTTTTTGGCTTTGATGTCTAGCTGAGACTATCTTATCTCCTATTTTGCAAATACACCTTTTATTATAATGCAAAAACTCATATTTACTTTGAGTTTTAGTGTATTTTTGGATTGTATTGAGTCTTTATTTTAAACATGTTTAAATAGTATAAGAACAACAAAAGAGGAAAAAGAGACAAAGGAAAACAAAGCAATAAGCAATAATAAATAATAACTACCCCCTTTCCACTGTTTATTAACTCATAGTCTAAACTTTTTCTTCCTGTTTATGCCCTGTCCATCAGAAATTCTTCATTATAATTTGCTTCATGTATTTATTTATTTTTATAACCCCAGTAACACGTCAAATATGCAAATCTACGTATATGAACATACTTGTGCACCCACACCCATATATATATATATATATATATATATCCCTATTGTGAAAATAGTGGGTGATACACCCGATCAGAGTCTTACCTTCTCCCTGTACTTTACAAACACCAGTAGCAACCATAGTAGAGAATGTGGGGTGATTTGTGGTCCAGAATGTGTTTTCCAGCTATTCTATTATCACACAAAGAAACTTATGTTCAAGAACTCTTTCAATTGCCACACCATCTATATGAATCTGCACTTCCCAAATAAGATGATTTTAATTGTACTTGGATTTAGTGATAGTTTGTTCCTGTCGTATTGAGCAGCTCCTTTAGATTCCTCCAGAACAAAAAATATTTGTGCCGTCCTCAAATTATACTAATTTTAAATCAGAGACCTTGCATATATAATTTATATAAATAATAAATCATTTTGGACCTAGTACAGAGCCTTGTGGAACACCACACACAATGTCCAAGCATGATGAGGAATATTCACCCAGCTTCACGAATTGTTTCCTGTCACTTAAGTAATTCTTCCCCCCAGTGCAGTAAAACCCCCCTGATCCCGTGCTATTCCACTTTATTAGTGTTGATTTACTGACTGTTGTATGTAGTGTGTATTTTGTATAGCTTGTACAGCACTGTAAATGGTAAATGGCCTGTATTTGTGTAGCGCTTTACTAGTCCCCAAGGACCCCAAAGTGCTTTACACATCCAGTCATCCACCCATTCACACACACATTCACACACTGGTGATGGTAAGCTACATTGTAGCCACAGCCACCCTGGGGCGCACTGACAAAGGCGAGGCTGCTGGACTAAATATCCAAATTCTAATCATGGCTGTGCGTGAAAATTACAATCTAAAGGCCTTTACACACTGAGTGTATCTGAATTTTAAAATGGGTATATAAAGAGAATTCATCCTCCAAAAAACGCACTGTGGTTTTAAAAAAATAAAATAAAAAAATAAAGCGTACATGAAGCGATGGTCCTTTTTTTTTTTTTTTCGAACAAGAGAAGGAAGAAACGGAGATTCGTCCAACTCTGAAGAGCAGGCAGCAGCAAGGGTGATTCCCTGGTTTGATCGGTTTGTGCTCCTGTTGGCAGAGTTGGGAGGAATCGTTTCAGCTAGCTGCGAGTCTGAGGTCGCTGTTTGAATATCATTGGATATTCAGTGCTGGTGCGCGTTTTAGCCCTGACCACACTTGTTACCACATGCAGTGATCCGATTGGTCAGGTCTGTTTATTCACGTGTGAAAAACTGGGGGAAAAAAAATGTAGCTTGATCCAAAAAAATAAATCTGCAAATTTGTCCTGTGAAATCACACAGTTGGTGTGAACGGCTGCATGAAGAACAGATGAGTCTGAAAAACAGTTTTAACACTGAGCATTTTCATGACTTTTACGTGTCCGGAGTGTAAAAGCCTTCAGGCTTACAAAATACAGCCAAGAAAGTCAGAGCAGTAGTTTTTCTGTGATTTCTTTGATTTGATCTGATAAAAATGAAAATTAAACGAGCCGTCCATCATTGTTTCTTTGTCGTGCTTGCCGTCTCAGATTTGTCAGAACCTGTTCATGCGTGGGCTGTCGTTGGTGGGCTGGTACCACAGTCACCCGAGAGGTCCGGCCCTGCCGTCGCTGCAGGACATCGACTCACAGATGGACCATCAGCTGAGGCTGCAGGGCTCAAACAACGGCTTCCAGCCCTGCCTGGGCATCATCTGTGGTACGTCCTTCATAACGGTGCTGCAGAAACGATCAGGTTCACTGAGTATTAATCGGTGCACTGCACTTCAGACGGGATGATGTATTTAAACTATTTATTTATACACAGTGAAGCCTGTTGATGGTCAAATCTACATGTTGATATAGGTTTGTGTTTGCAAACAGAAAAATATAAGAACTCTCTGAAACTGGCTCTGTGTCATCGCATTGGTGGCTGAGCTTTCATCTCTTTTCTCTTTCAGGTCCGTATTATCACGGAAATCAAGGCGTGGCATCAACAATAACTCCATTTTGGGTCGTACCGCCACCTGAGGTGAGTGCTGCAAGTGTTGAACTGGTCCCCTTCACCTAAACGTACAGCCTGGAGCCAGAACTGGCCCATCAAAGGGTCTCATAACGAGTTGTTCAGTTTCGAAGCCTCCCTGCTCACAGAGACGTTAGTCGTGGCCATCGTTGGCTCAGTCTACAGCGGCTCTGTACAGCAGCGTTTCTTTGTAATGTGGAAATTTCAGACGCGCTGCTCATCATCAGTTTGTATTAAAGTGTGACCGTTTTCAGAATAAACTCAAGCTTCTTAAGAGGGAATGGAAAAGTTTTTAGAGGTCAGCAGGTTAGGTTGCAGTGTCAGATGAAATGGGTTTGAGTTTTTCTGACACATGTGGTCTCTTTCTGCAGCAAAGACCTAATGACTACGGCATCCCAGTCGCTGTCGAGGTCACCTACGTACAGGACAACTTCCTCACCAGTGATGTTCTCAATGAGATGGTATGACACTGCATGATGCATTGTATGAAAAGACTGGAAAAAGCTTTGGTGATGCTGTAACTCATTAAAAAAAAAAAAAAAAACCTCTGCATAGATGCTGCTGGTCGACTACTACAGGGCAGCTCCTGACCTCGTCCAGTTCAACCAGTACTGGTGTCCTGATACGACCATGATGGACAAAATTAAGGTGAGTTAAAGTCTCACTGTTTACCTGATCAGATTGCAGGCAGGCTGACTGAGCTCGTCCTCCTCCTCAGGGCTCTCTGAGTTGCCACGCTCCCAAAGACCAGGCCTACTCTCAGATCCTGGAGCACGTCTACAGTCAGCTGGGGAGCATGAACTGAGCGGATCACTGTTGTTCACTTCAAACACCTTTTTTTTTTTGCAGAGCTTGCAGGATTGGTGTGAAATACAATATAAACCCTGCTTTACAAACATATAGATGCCTCGATTGCTTGTACGTTAGAGTGATATTTACCTGTTATACAGCATTATCAGACAAATACATTACAGTGGCTGTGATATTAGCTGCCCCAGAAGGTTGTTTTCATTAGGAGACCCAAAAAGTAGCATGTTAGAAAACATGAGACCATGCTCTTCTGCCTCAGCACGCTACTCAGAACCACGTTGCAGAAGACAAATCGGCCTTTTACCTTCTACACATGGACCTACAGTATGTGCCTGTCTGTGCCAGTAACCTGTGGCAATGAGCAAACATTGACAGATATATACAACGTGAAAATTTATGTCTTATAATTGCCTTTTATTGACAAAAGCCAATGGATCGGCGTTTGGGGAAAAGTGAAAAGCAGTGCAGAATCTACGACAGCGACCTGAAGTGTGCTCTGCAGCCGGGTTTGTGAGTGCATCAAGTCCGCTGTGCCACACAAGTTAATTTTTCAGTTCCACTAGTGAAGTGAACAGGTGTGTGTCTGTGTTTGTGCCAGCGTTTTGTGAACGTGCCCGTCTACTGTCTTCCTGTCAGGTTGTGTGAAACTTGAGTCCTGTTCGTTAGGAACACACATTTGCTTCCTCTCTACCTGTACTGTATTTATTACTGCCTGTGGATTGTAGAGGTACATCTTTGAGGACAGAGCAATGCCTTAAGCCTGCTGATTGATGATCCACGAAGCATTAAAATATACACACTGGAACTATTTAAACACAAGTGTGGGTTATTTTTTTCCCTTCAGTCTAAAACACACTGCTCCAAAGAAATGAAGGGACCGGAGAACAGACGGGCCAACACCAACAACGGATTCTGACCTGCTTTTGTTAGTGTCCTTGTTTTCAGTAACAGGAGATGGTACCTGCAGCCTATTCAGGCTGCACAGGTAGTCCAGCTCCTCTGTGCTGTCCCAACAATAGACCGGGCAGCATCTCCAGGTTCTTTCACGCTCGTCACATGGGCTCAGCGTGAACCCTTTATACCCCTTTAGAGTCCTGTCCAGCTGTCCTCAGGTTCTCAGTCATCTAGCTCATCGTAGTCTAAGGAGCTCGGAAAGAAAAGCGAGTGTGGGTCACAATTAGCCAAGGAAAGATGATAGGGTGGGGCTAGGTCTCACAATGGGCTCACCCAAAACTTTGGCTGATTGTGACCCTCACCCGTTTTCACACCTTGGCTCATGTGATTAGGTAGAAGATCAATAGGGGGTCCATGACATCTTGGGGACACTCCCATAGGGCTTAAAATCTGGGACTCTCCACCAGTTGCTCTTAGAACTGAAGAAGCTTCTCGGATGAAATGTTTTCAAGGAAACTTAAAGAAGTTCAGTCGCTTTTCTTTCTGAGCTCCTTAGACTGCTCATCTCCTGATATCTCCAACCATGAATGCTTCATCCTGGTGGAGCTGGATGGTTGCACAGGTACTGTAGGCTCCTCCTACCAGAGGAGACGAGGTCACTAAGGAAAAGTGAAACTACGGAAAAATGAGTCAGGAGGGATAAACAGGGTCTGTGGATCCACCTGTACCGGAGTAGGTTCAGAGCAGTGTGAACACGAACACACACACACACACACACACACACCTAGAGTGATGTACCCTTTTGTGTGCGTTTTCCATATAAAATCCAACATTAAAGCCATAATTTGACACCTCACTACAAACAACGGCTTCATTTAAAACTGTATTTATTTATTTTAAGAACGGGGAAATGAGGGGACAGGACAGAAGCATGTACAAATACTGTGATAATACAAGACACAATATTGTCGTTAAATTCTGTATTCATACCAAAAGTAAAAAGCAACTTAAATCTAAGATATACACGTACTAGGTGTAATATAGGACTACATGCAGAGATTAATTTAAAGGTTTTTAGGTCTTGTATATATAAAAAAAAATAATACTATAGAGAGTCAGAAGGATTTAACAGTGAAAAGAGCATTTAAGACTGATGAAACAAAGATGCAACCCTTTACGATGAGAAATGTTGAAACGGGATTAAAATCTCTGTGAGAAAGAGAGACAGTTTCCTTTGGTGGCCTGCTGACAAATGTCACATCAAGATATCCAGGAAACTGCATGTAGTGTCATCAAAATGTGCAGAAATATGCACAAGTGCATGTCCCCTTTACGCGGGAAGGTGACGACGATGAGAAAATGCAGTAAGACATTGTGACCATCGTAAGTCGTTAGGTTTTGGTTGCTGTGTAAGCTGGGATACTCCCCCTCTCTTTTCCAAAGGCACTAAAACAAAGACTTGGCTCTGATAACAGTGAGACCCAGACAGCACACCTCTGCTCACATTCACCCCGAACCTCATGTGAGCATCCAAGTGCAGAAGGGTCAAAGATGTAAACAGGTTAGACAGGAGTTGGTGTTTGGCAGCATGGAGTGATGGACCAAAAAGAAGAAACTGCACAGTGTATTCAACATTCAGCATCTGAAATCAGACGCACTGAAGAGAAAGGTTTGCTAACAAAGGTTCTCCAAAATAATCCAAACGGACAACCGCTTACATGCACATTTCCCTCAATGGTTCCCTTTTACTTCCACGTTATTCCCTCAGACTGTACAGGGTGTATTGGATTAGACTCCACTGACAGGTGTGCACCGAGGCCAAATCCAGAACAAGAAGCCAGCCTTGTCTACACAGTCTGCCTCCATCAGCCCTAAACACACTAACCAATCACGTGAATCAGAGCCCGTGAGCCGTCAGAAAGACGGGGCGCGAGGACGTTTCTGAGCTAAGACGACGTTGGCGTGACAGAGAGATGGACGCTGCCAGCAGCGTTGTCTCTGCGTGTAGCCGACGGGTGTCTAAAGTGGGCCGAAAGGCTGAAAAAAGGTTAACATACTTAACAAACAGGCCAGAAATGTTATAAAGTATGGCTGTTGTACAGAATCATTAAACAAACAGGCACGCTGAGCGATATGTTTCTATTGCATTTTATAAAGTCTCCTGCATCATCTCCTCAGCAGAACACACCGCTCTGCTCTTCCACACATCGGACAAGCGCAACCTTCGGGTCTGTGTGACGCCGGAGATGTCCGTCACACACATCAATCTCATTTGAGGACAAAGGTGCAGTTGCAACATCCTCTCACACGTTACCAGCTGAACTTTACTAAGATACCATAGTCAGCTGAGCGGACACCGATCAAAGACTAGAACGGAGTAAGCGTGAGTGCGGCTGCACAGCCTGACAGGGATAAAACAAACAGGTCGTTACGCAACAGGGGAAACCTGAAAATGTTCAAAATCTGAAAAGAATTTGGCTCAAGTTTATCATTAAAATATCAAAGCAGTATTTTTTTTTTTTTTTTTTTTTTTTTTAAATACAGCTAGTTGTGTGTGGTTCCATCTCAGTTTACTAATTCTCAGTCATGCCAGCAGGTGGCATCACCAGGCACAAACCAGTCCACAGCTGAAGTGAAAACCAGCAGTTTTCACTTTGAAATGAGGAAAATGTTCAGCCAAGTTATGCATGACCCCCACCCCACCCCTCTTAATCTGGTGACCAACCTGAGTTTTAAACAGACTGCAAATACAAGAAAACGATATGAAAGAGTCACCCCGACCGCTCCAATTACCCACATTAATTTTTTCTACATTATTAATTTGTTGTTAGAAATCCTTACAAATTGTTTCATCAGTTAGTCCTCGATACGCTTCTTGCTGTTGGACAACAGATCTCCATGTGAAACGCTGATATTCTGGTCGGGTAGTTCTTCGGGACTCCAGGTGACCAAAAAGTGCTCTGTGATGATGACATTGGAGCCGAAGGTGAAAAATGAAACCTCTGCGGACCATCCCTCCACTTCGCTTCGCTCTCTTCTCATTCTACCTTCTCTCCCCTCCTCCTTTACATCAGTCTCCTCCTAGCTCCCTCTCTTTGCATTAGTGTGGCAACGGCACGAGGACCTCGACGTAGTTCAGGGGGAAGAATCCAGACTGGCCGTTCAGCGTGCCCTCGTACCAGTTCTCGTCGATCTGATTGGTCAGGGTGATGACGTCGCCCTCGCGGAAGCCCAGCTCTCCGTCGTTCTCGGGCTCAAAGTCATACAGCGCCTTGCAGCTTGGCTGTTCCGGGGCTGAAAACGACCAGCAAACAGAGCAGAGATGAGGAAAAGGTTAAAGGTCACAGACTGTCAATTCGAGGAAAAGCAAGTCACAGCAAACATCAGTATAACATTAGTAAACGGTGCTCACGAGACGTTCTGAACAGACTAAAGCATAAAGAACTTCCTCTGACAGCAGCTTTCCAAGACCAGATCCTCCCTCTCGCTCTCTGTGACCTCACTGAGATCAGCAGCAACGAGGAGGCTCAATGCACAGACAAACTGGGCTTTTTCTCTGCCACACAATTTTCTCATTGTATCTGGCTCAACCCGCAGACTGCTGGGACGGCTAGAGATGGGAAAAGATTTGGTCAGCCATTCTCTGGTCTTCATCTGTTTACAAGAGCAGCAACGCAACACAAACTATAAATGGAAAAGGACCGACTGCTTCTTGTATTTACAACCCAAAACACAGGTGCTGATGTCTAGAGAATCAGATCAGATGAACTCTCCTTCACCGTCACACTTTTTGTGAAAGCATGAAATTCTTTCACAACTATCTGAGCTCACGTGTTTACAGTAAAGCGTTCACACACGGACACACACAGATGATAAATGATGCTCGCTGCACTGTGCAAAACAATGATGAATGGAAAAAAAACAAAACAAAAAACCAGACAAGTTTAAAAAAAAAAAAAAAAAAAAGTTGCAAAATAAATATCTAACACTGAACACACTGCTGAGACTCTAAAACTGTGCTGAACACGGCTGATTTAGTACCGATTCACAAATGAAAACAATCCTTCATTCAATCAGATGTGCTGTCCTGTAATGTTAACTGGTTAAGTTACATGGGGACAGACATTATTATTTATTAAAAAGGTCACACATAAACAGTCAAAGCCACACCCACAGGCCTTTTCAGAGCCACAACAAACCCTGTCAGTTATTTGTGTTTTATGCTTCCACGACATGCAAATTAAGACATGGAAACAGGACGCTTCGCTGTGCACAAATTAAATATCACATACAACGAACGAGGGCCAACATAACTATAGTTTTACAAACCAGTTATGATGTGTTTTTTCCATGCAGAGACCAAAGTGTCTGTATCTGGGTTACATGTTTGAAGGTTTACATGTACTCATGCTTCTGTGTTCACCTCTAAAACCTAACTGAAAGGTCATTACAATACAGATACAGCAAAAAAAAAAAAAAAAACATTTGCAGATTCAGGAAGTCAGTCATTTTAAACAAAACCACATACTCGCTGCTGTTTTATGCATAAACCACTATCTGTTCAACCAATGAAAAGCAGCTTTTGGTCCACTTCCTACATTTCACCCTAGAAGTGAGCGCAAACGCACACACACCAGTTTAAAACAATTGAGAAACAGCACCACACATAACCGGTGACTCACACAATCCTTGTGGCCTGGTCAAGTGAAAAGTCGCCTCTGATGATGTCACAAGGAAGAGGAACAAGGTCGGTTGGAGAAAGGCCGGAAAGATGACACACACACACACACACACATGCACGCACGCACGCACACACCCCATGCTGTCATGATCACCAACTCAGTGCCATCATTTTTAAAAAACCTCACTCACACAGCAGACAAACGGAGATGCTCACTGGACTCAGTGGCGCTTGTTTGT